CTGGTCGAGGTGAGAAGCAGATGCTAATGCTGAACCCCCAGCCAAGATAATTCAAATCAACAACATCTTTGCCGAATCTAAGCATTTGGACCAATCATCGGCTTTATCGAGCAGAACGCTGAGGGAATAGATTTTCCCCACGATGACGCCTTGGTGATTTCTGTTCAACTGGCCCACGCCATCGTTGACTTAATTATGGTGGACAATGGTAGCTCATTCAATATCATACAACTGTCAGTCATCCAGAAGATAGACCTGGAAAACATGATCAAATGCAAAGTAGAGGTCTTGACCAAATTCAATAGACACATCTCAATTGCCATTGGCATAATCATGCTCGATGTAACCAACCTTCAAATTGTCTTATCGTAGACCTTCATGATCGTCAACGACCCATCCCCTAATAACAGGATTCTGGGCTGACCTTAGCTAGTGAAGATTGGAGCTGTGACCTCGATCGAGTATCAAAAAATTCAATTTTGCATCCTAGGATGAGTAGTTGGAGAGATCAAAGGCAACCAGGCCATGTCTCGATGATGCATCCTGGGAGAAGGAGTCGAAACCAACTGCTCAGCTTCTTAGACGTGTACTCAGACTATAATCAAATTGTTATGCATAAGTCCGACAATGAGAAAATAACATTCGTGATCGAGCAAGGCATATATTGTTACAAGGTCATGCCCTTTGGCCTTAAGAATGCAAGAGCTACCTACCAAAGACTTGTTAGCATGATGTTTAAGAAGCAGATTAGAGTAACCATGGAGGTCTACATCGATGATATCATAGTGAAAGGCAAACAGCGTTTAGGTTACATTGGCAACTTGGCAAAGATTTTTGGCATCCTTTGAGAATACAAAATGAAGCTCAACCCAGCAAAGGGCACATTTGGAATCGCCTTAGGTCGGTTCTTAAGGTACCTTGTAACCCAGCGAGGAATCGAAGCTCATACAAGGCAAATCAAAGCAATCCTGGACATGAAGTCTCTCACGACTCGGAAGGAGATCCAAAGTTTGACCGAACAAGCAACTACACTTAATTGTTTTCTTTCTCGGTCCACTGACCGATGCAAGCCCTTCTTCAAGGAAATCAAGAGGGCGTAGAGAGAAAAATGGAACAACGAGTGAGAGAAAGCATTTCAGGACCTGAAGTAGTACCTGACATCACCTTCATTACTATCTAAGTTGGAAGAAGCAGAGAACCTGTACACCTATCTGGCGGTATCAGAGGTAGCAATGAGCTTTGCCCTCATATAAGAAAAACTGGGGGCCTAATTTCCTATATTCTACACATCCAAAGCTTTCATCAATGCAAAAACCAGATACCCAAAGATTGGAAAGATAATTTTGGCGCTAGTTATTACATCTTGGAAGCTCAAACCTTATTTTCAAGGATATTCGGTCATCGTCGTGATACAGTACCCACTAAGGTCAGTTTTGAATAGTCCAGACGTTTCTCAACGAGTGATGAAGTAGGCGTTGGAACTTGGCTAACACGACTTAGCATACCAACCCCACAGGGCAATAAAGGCCCAAGCATTGGAGGACTTTTTAGTAGAATTCATCCCAAGCTTGAATGACGCTGCAACTCAGCCCAAAAATGCCTTAGAGGCACACCGTAGCCGCACCAGCCCTATATGCAGGAGATTTCTAGCACTTACACGTCGACGGATCATCCAACTACTAGGGATGGGGAGCAGGCCTAGTTCTTACTACTCTAGACGGTTCGAAGCTCGAGCAAGTGATCACTCTAAGCTTCAAAGCGTCGAATAACGAAGTAGAGCATAAAGCCTTAATAACAGGTCTCTGATTGGCGAAGGACCTAACGGTGAAGAAGCTCATGATATATTTTGATTCCTAGCCGATCACCAACCAAACCTCATGGGAGTATGTTGCGAAGCATCTAAGGATGGCATATAGACTGGGAATGGCATGCTCGTTCGCATATTCTTTTCAAGACCACATATCTACTGTCTATCGCATCCTGACGACCTAAAGACTCTTAGATCAATCCACGAAAGCGTCTGTGAACAGACAATTGAACCGGGGGTATTTTCACCTCATTTCTCCGTGGATTTAGCATATCCAACTCAAATCTCGCGCTCGTAGTCCATTACACTTCTACTACTCAAGGAGACACACACTGTCCAAGCTCTTGTCTCGACAAGTCATATAGCTGATAAACGCTTTTGTTCAATAGACGAACTTGGTGAATCAGCTCTTGCAACGTACTGAGATGTAGCGTGCCCTAGACGAGGTGTCTTGAGGTTGGATAAGAGTAGATGACGAACCTTTCTAGCATCTTCTAGGTAAGTAGCCACTTGACCATTCACGAACCGAGTGTTTGAGTAGTATACGCTCCCGACTGGGTCCCCGAGATAGCGTATACTCTCATCTTAGCACAAAAAGGAACATACACTCTCGATTAGGCCTACGGATGAGCATACATTCACGGTTGGGACCATACTCTGATAATCAACATGAGTAACCTCTAGGTGAAGTGTTCATTCGTGGCTAGACCCGTAAGGAGCATCATCCACCTCACATCGGAGTAGGTAGCACGAAGGATAATGAGAAACAATCACTCAATCCTGCTTAAGTTTAACTGGCAGCCTGCGAGGAACTCGCTCGCCTATTAAGAACGTACCATATGCACAGCAGCCGTTGCATAGACAAGCCAAACCCATGGAAGAGTAGCCTAGACCAATAAGTCATAATCGGAGGCAGCCGAGAGCTCCGCTACCCTAACAAAGGTAAATTTAGGAAGAAGTAGAGAGGTTCCTGATTGAGCAATTGCGCGATTTCCAACATAACATGGTCATTGATGAGGCACTAAGACGGGACATGACCAACATAAGTAAGTCACCCTTCACGAACGAGATCGAGTAGGCAGAGACTCCATGCAAGTTGAGTATGCCACATTTCACATTCTTCAAAAGGGATAGACACCCAGAGAGACACTTTAAACACTAAAACAGAGTAATAATCCTCTATCGAAACAACAACGCTCTCATGTGCAAGATATTCGCCACCACTTTACAAGGCGAAGTGCAAGATTGGTTCTACACCTTGCTGCCACAATCTATCCAGAATTTCGATGAGCTTTCTTTGGTCTTTACCAAGGAGTATTCATCATATCGCTTGAACAAGAAGAAGTTCAACCACTTGTTCAACGTGAAGAAGAACCCAAAGAAGTTGCTCCGCGGTTATGTGAAAAGGTTCAAATCAGAAAAGGCAAAGATAGTTGGATGCAATGACTCGATAGCTAGTGAAGCCTTCTAAAAAGAACTCCTAGCAGATCAACCGTTGTTCGAAGAATTAATCATGAAACAAGATCTAACTCTGGCAGACTCTTTTACTCTGGTAAAGAAGCATGCACTTTGGGACGAGGCTCGACAAGTAGACAAAGCACCCGAATAGCCTAAAAAAGAATTGATAGTAGCTCAAAAAAATGAAGACGGGAAACAGTACAACAAAAGCAGGCAGGAGGCCAAGCGCAAGGACCAATCCCTAATTAAAGAAGGCTCGACGCCTAAGAACTACTATAAGTTCTTGATCTTGATCCACCAAATCCTCCACGACATCAAGAGCGAACCATGGTTTAAGCTGCCAAAACAATCAAAGGGAAATACCTCCAAGTTCGACCACACCAAGTATTGCACATTCTGTCGAGGTCCCGATCACACAATCGACATTTGTTACACTTAGAGGAACTACCTATAGAAGATGGTGAAAGAGGGCAAGGTCGACAAATACTTGGACAAGCCAGTTGCATAGCCTAGAAGGAACACAGACGCCAATAAAGAGCCGTTGACCAAAAGAATCCAAATCAATGGCATCTTTGCTGAATCCGAACACGAGGAAGCCACCAATAACTCTAAAAAGAGGAAGATCCGGCAAGTTCTACTAGTTTCACAAGTCCAGGAAGTCAACACCTAACTTGGAACTATCGTTAACTTCACCAAGGAAGATGCCGAGGGCGTCGATTTCCCACATAACAACGCATTAGTGGTATCTGTCCAACTAACCCACGATATAGTCGACACAATGATGGTTGACAACGGAAGTGTGGTTAACCTACTTCAGCTCTCAGTAATTCAGAAGATGGGCCTGAAAAGCACAATCATATGTTGAACGGAGGTACTCACCAGATTCAACGGACACACCTCGACAGCCATCGGCAACATACACTTGACTTGAGAACACCGCCAGTTGTCTCAAAGTAGATGTTCACAATAGTAAGCAACTTGTCTCCCTATAATGGGATTCTATGGTGACTTTGGCCGATAAAGATGGATGCCATAACCTTCATCAAGTATAAAAAAAATACGATTCCGCATCCTAAGAGGAGAAGTCGAAGAAATCAAGTCTGACTAGGCCACATCTTGACGATGCATTGTGCAAGTATTGAAGGAGTCAAAAAATAAGACCTTTACCCCATAGAGGCTACCGAGGTCCAAAGGGACGACGAAGCTACCAAATAGCAATCACAACGGATGGATCAAGAATATGGTGTCTAAATCAATGCGCTAGTAGACGAGACAAGATGGAAACCTGAAAATGACTCCGAACACATCATTCTTGATCCCTAACAGCCGGAGAACACTACTAGAATCAGCTTATGCCTGAGCTCGAAGGAAAATTAGAAACTTACATTTTTCCTTAGGGTGAATCGTGAAGTCTTTGCATGGACACCTTCTGACATGCCAGGCATCGACCCCAAAATAGATTGCCACAAACTCCATGTCGACCCTGCTGCCAAACTGGTAATCCAAAAGAGAAGACATTTTGCACCCAAACGAGTGACCATCATAGAAGTGGAAATCGACAAGCTATTAGAGGCCAAATTCATATAAGAGGTAGCACTCTCAGCATGGCTTGCCAATGTCGTGCTAGTAATGAAGAAAGAGAAGGGCAAATTGAGGGTTTACGTATACTACACTAACCTCAACAAAGCATGCCCGAAAGATCCTTATCTAGTTCCCCGAATCAATCTACTTGTAGATTCGACTTCCAGGAACCAGCTGCTCAGTTTCTTCGATGCATACTCCGGCTACAACCAAATAGCCATGCACGAGCTCAACAAGAAGAAAACCGCATTCGTGATCGAGCGAGGCACTTATTGCTACAAGGTCATGCCTTTTGGCCTCAAGAATGCGGAAACCACTTACCAATGATTGGTAAACATGATGTTCAAGAAGAAAATTAGAGTAACCATGAAGGTCTATGTCGACGACATCATGGTGAAGGGAAAGTAGCGATCAAACCAAATCGGGAACTTGGAAAAACTTTTGACATCCTTAGAAAGTACAAGATGAAACTCAATCCCGCCAAATGCACATTCGGAGTATCATCAGGTAGATTCTTTAGGTACCTAGTAACCTAACGAGGAATTGAAGCACATCCCAAGAAGATCCGAGCAATCCTAGAGATGAAGTCTCTAACTACCTTGAAAGAGATCTAAAGCTTGATCGGACGAGCAGCTACGCTCAACCGTTTCCTTTCGTGGTCCATCGATCAATGCAAGCCTTTTTTCAAAGCAATAAAAAGGGCAGCACGAGACAGATGGGATGATGGGTGTGAAAGATCTGAAGAAGTATTTCACATCACCTCTTTTAATATCCAAGCATGAAGCAACGAAAGACTTATACATCTACTTGGTAGTTTTAGAAGTAGGAGTAAGTTCTGCCCTCATACAAGAAGAGATGGGGACCCAACTGCTGGTATTCTACACTTCTAAAGTTCTCTCCATGCGGAAATTAGATATTCGAAGATAGAGAAATTAATTTTGGCATTAGTTATTGTGGCTCGGAAGCTCGGACCATATTTTTAAGATCATACAATCATCATCATGACTTAGTATCTTCTACGATCAATGAAATGGGCGTTGGAACTTAGTATCCTCTACTTGTCCAGATGCTTCTCAACGAGTAATGAAATGGGCGTTGGAACTTGGCCAACACGACTTAGTTTTCTGACCCCGTACGACGATAAAGGCCCAAACCTTGGCTGAATTCATAGTAGAATTCACGCCTAGCCTGGGCAACGTAACATAGTGACCCAGCAACGCCCCCAAGATAACCGAGCATGCCATAACTACTCCTACTTCACCCATGGAGACTTTTGGCATTTGCATGTCAACAATACATCCAACTACAAGGGCTCGGGAGTAGGCGTGGTTCTTGTCACCCTAGATGGTTCAATGTTTGAGCAGGCAATCACTCTTGGCGATGAAAAAGCTTGCAATTTATTCTGATTCCCAGCTAATCACTAGTAAGACTATTAGGGAATACATGACAAAACATCCAAAGATGGCGCAATACCTAAAGAAGGTACAAGAGCAACTCGAGGCGTTTTAAACTTACATCCTCACGGCCTAGTCTTTTCTCCCTTGGCCCAATTTAGCTGGAAGAAGGGCAGACGCCCTTGCAAGTCTGTTGGGCCCAATCTGGCCAAACGCTTCACACGCCTCCATTCTCTCTCCGATACGGGCCCAAGCCCAACAAGGAAGGAGGCCCACGCCTTCTTGGTCCAGTCCATTGCACACGTGCCTGGCTTATGCCAGGTCTAACCTAGTGTCCCAGCGCCCTGTCAACTCAGCCCAAGCTGAGTCGCACCTGGCTCAGCCAGCCGCTGCTTCACCGAGCCGATGAAGCAGCCCAATGGCAGCGGTCATGCCGTGGCTTCCTAACCATTGTTCACACATTCTCAACCCCGTCGAGCTAAATTTCAAGCCCTAAGGCTCCAAAAAATTACAAAAACAAGAAAAAATTAATTTTTTCTTACCTTGGTGCGGTGTGAAGACGAAGAAAGCAACGAAATGCGGTCCTTTGCATGGGCAAGTGTAGAAGATTGCTAGGGGATAGGGAACAAATATCCTCTAGCTTTCTTTCTCTTATAGGGTAGAATAAATTGTTCTCTGAATTGATTTAATCCTATACTTAATGTATACTTAAATAGACTTTGGAAGTGATTTATTTCTCTTTCTTAGAATGATCTAATTTCCAATTAATGTGGGAATTTACATCAAAATAAGAAACAATCTTATGTTTCCTAAAGCAAGGGAAGATCTCTACACCATTGGCCCTTTCCTGTGAGTAGCCCAATAGGTGTGGGGGTATTTATGGAGCCAAAAATAATAAAGTAAATTATGGAGGTGACACATGGACTTTTGAGTATAAAGGACAAAATTACCTTCGAGGCACACCGGGATTCTCATGCGCATTTAACAAACAATAACGACTCAATCAAGGAAGAATGAAAGGTGATCAAAATGGTATTTATTCAAATCCCTCTCATCACTCCTCATAAAATCCTCACTCAAAGGTAACTCCTAATTTTGCTATTCAATTTAAGATTAATTGCCAAGTTAATTGCAAGATATTATTTCACATAATATTTTGTAATTATACTCACAATTTCACCATATGTGGCCGACCACTATTCTCCAAATAAGGCCGGCCACTCCCCTATGAATAGCCCTATTCTCCCACTAAAAAGTTAAGTCATTTGCTACCCATAAACTCCAAAACACATTTTTCTCAGAATTCTAACTTTGACAACGGTGATTCTTCGGCCAAAGCCTTCCCCTAGTTCATCGTGGGCATGTAAGGCATTTGGACTTAATCTTAGGTGTTATTATTTTGTAGGTGCATTTTTGTCAAAGGAGAAGACGACCAAAATTTGCATCCACAAACTATTTTGCAATTTATGCATTCCAATACAATTATGTATTTTTTAAGTATAAATATACATTTTTTATGTGATATAATAAACTTAATTAAAATTAAAAAAAAAATCCACCTAGGTCCTACCTAGACTCCTAGGCACTGAGGCCCTGCCCACCGCCCAACTAGCGCCTAGCGCCTTTTATAACCTTGATTTGTATAGGCACAATGGTCAAGAGAGAAAGAAGGAAGACAAATGAATACGAGAAAGGATGGGAGAGATACAAAAATTCAAGTAAAAAAAGAAATAAAAAATAAAAAATGATAATTAGTTTCCCATGTTGCATAGTTTTATAGGAACACTAATGAAAATGGCTTGAAAACTTTGAATTTTAATTAAAAGGACAAAAAATGTGTTGTAAGTGAATAATATAATGAATGACTTTTTAGAGAAAAAATGTCATTTTCGTTAAAAACGTACAGTACTAGAAATATTTCATTAAAACTCCCTGGTTTTATTGGGTGGTAGTCTACACATGTTGCCATATACATAGCTTTAAAACCACATAAGCAAATTTAACGGATTGTGTAACGAATTTAATGAAAACAAGGCAATTTGGAGTAAATTTTGAATTTCAAGAAGTAAGGTACCGTTTGGTACGTGGGACGGGACGGAACAAAACGGGACGAACCGTTCCATCCCACGTTTGGTGCGTCTAAAACCGTGAAATGAGTTGTCCCATGGGACGAAATTTGGCTGATTTTTCGTTCCACCTCTTCCCCCTAGAACAACCCGTTCCACATCCGTGGAACACAAATTTATAACATTTTATGACAAAATTTTTCCTTATCTTTTTCAATATTTACATCATCTGTTCCGTCCCGTCTGCGTACCAAATGGTACCTAAAGTGACGACTTTTGAATTTTGAAGACAAAGTGTGATCAAAATCAAATTTTAAGGGACTTAACCAAAAAAAAAAAAAAAACCTTTTAAGTTTTACATTTTTGAACCCTAACTTCTGAAGGTTGGTTACACGTGTTCACAAAGCCGGTGGCTTGGGCCAACTGTTGGTTGATGACCGTTAGTTGGATCCGAAAACAAATTAATTTTGTGACATGTTTTGATGGCTACACAGACGCGTGGTCCATATAAAGTTAAACGAACTTTTGGTTCCAACTAACGTTGATGATCACGAGGTTCCAACTAACGTTGATGATCACGAGGTTCTGTCAATCTGTCAATCTGTCAATCTGTCAATCTGTCAATCTGTCAGTCTTTGCTGATGGCGAATGTTTCACCTACTATTCTACTACTAACTTATACGCATGCTTAAAATGATGCATTTTTTATTAGAAATTTTAACGAAAAATTTTCGGTATTGTTCATTTTAACGAAAAATCACATTTTACACTAAAAAGTTAATCCTGGTACTATTCACTTTACCTTTTATTTTATCCTTATCATTAAAACTCAAAGTTTTCAAATCTTTTTCATTAGTTTTCCTTTTTTTATTAACATGGGCATAATTACTGTAGTAAACAATACAGAGACAAAATTGGAAGCGCGGAAGAGAAAGTGGGGTTAAAAATCAAAATAAAATTGTAATACTCTTTGCTTTTTAAAATAAATATTAGAAACTTCTGGTACTTAAAGGTTACAACCGTCATTTTAAACCTCTGTAATTGATACAGAGAATTCTCTTAATATATAGTATGAATAATCACCACGAGGTGATCAATTAATTGGAAAAGAATTTCAGATCCTTATTCCACCAGCACATTCTGAATCTAGCATGATGAATCACACGATGATAGACATGAATGCTGAAATGCCTATGTGCCCACATGCACATACTATAGCCATTTAATATAGCCCAACAGGACAAACCGAACATTTTGGTAAAGAGAAATTTTATTTGAACCCATAAAACCTTTCTCGACACCTAACTTAAACTTTGAATGTGAATTATCCTTTTTACCCTATTGTATAATTACCACTAGCTACAAGATGAAATTAACAATAAACTAAAATTTATCAATAAACCCACATCTAATAATCAAACCCTACCATCATGGAATCTTTATCCTACATTCATTCTAACTAAAACCTAAGACGCTTTCATAGAGAAAAACAAGCTCTTTTTGAACGATGGATGGTGATTTAGAAGTTTTGAATCCTCCAACTAAAGTTTGAATCGATTTTTGCAAGTTTTTTTTTCGTTTGATTTCAATTTTTATTAGGATTTAGGAACAAATTCAGCACATTTTCTAAAGCATAATTACTAGCAAAAACATATATACGGGATTTAAAATTTTAAAGTCTAGCAACTTGTGCGAATGTCACGCTTTCTTCTCCTTTCATTCGTGAAGGGTGGAGGCTATACTTTGCTTGTAGTTTTGATGGCAGTGCATAGCAGCATTATAGCTACTGTTCTTCAATTTAAAGGTCTTGAGATCCTTCTATCCGGTGAAACAAATGTATGTAGTCTCCAAAAGGTTCCCCTTCTTTCTCTTGTTTCAATCAAAATTGTTTTTCATAATTTAATTCGGTTGTTTGGATGTCAAAAATGTTTTGATTTCATTAAAATATAGGAACTTGAGGTTCAAGTAGGTTCATAGCATGAAAAAATATGCCTTCAATTTTAGAGTTGAATTTTTTTTATCTTGATTATGATAATTAAAACATAATCTTGTTTTGCTTACGAGATTATTAGGTACCCTTATCGTCATTTAATGGGAAGAAACTGTGCCTCTACTTCTCAACAAATTGGTGCAGGCCTTGCAATTACCCCTCAACATTGCAAGAATGTGACTTTATGAAATGCTTACAGTGGAAGGCAAAGAGTTTAAGATAATCTTTATCTCTTTCGGTTGTGGTGAGGTAAAAAATGAACACTCCAAGTGCATGTCATGGCTGGCATTGAACGGATGCTATTTTTCATAAAAGTTGAGTGACATCTACTGTTGGGTTTTTATTTTCTAAATGGGTGTAAAGATAAATTTATATATTGAATTTGGTATGTGAGGGTAGTTTAGGTAGTAAGTTGGGTTTAAAGAGATATTGAGAATTTAATTAAAAATAATATGGGTGTAGAAAGTAAATTAGGTGTAGAAAGAGGTTATATGAGTTTAAATAAAATTTCTCTTTTTTAAATTCATGTCACCTATCATTCCCTATGTTACTACGTAGTACGTACAACGTTGGCCCCGCACAGAGATAATGCCATCCTATATATATGATGAAATGAGACTTGCAGCAAGTACAGCATCCTCACCATGTTGCCACAAGCACTTCTATTTATGGCTCTTTTGACCACGAATGTTGCATCCACGTCAAACATCATCACCGCCCTACCCGGCTTTCCCGGTAACCTTCCCTTCAAACTTGAAACTGGGTACGTAGGTACTTCTTGTTTCTTTCCAAAACTATTATCTTATCTACTCTGTAAAAATAAACTTGAGCACTGTCAATTATGTTACTTTAATACGGAAGATGACTATGAAATTATACGAGTTTGAATTTGTTATACAAAAGGTACGTAGGAGTAGGCAACATGGATGATGTGCAGCTATTTTATTACTTCATTGAGTCCGAAGGGAGTCCAGAATATGATCCTCTTGTGCTTTGGCTCACTGGAGGTCCCGGTTGTTCTGCGTTTTCTGGCCTCATATATGAAAATTTAGGTACTTGCTTAATTATTAATTCACTGTCTGCATCATTTCAGAGGATATAATTCAATATTATTTTATATTTTCAGACATTGGTGATATGAAATTAAGGTTGTGAGTGACGTAGGCGAGAAGTCCAGTGCGAAAAAATTGTGATGTCAATTTTTCTGCTTAAATTTTGGTAATGAATCCCACAATCACGAAGAAGACAAGAACATGCCTGTATTGACTTATAATTAGAATCCTCTTATCTGCCCCCTATAGTTTGGGAAATGTTGATCAAACATTGATGAAATCATCAAGGAGAAATTAGGTTCTCATCGCTATTTTTTCTACTCAATTGATTAAAACCTTATTCATTTTCAATTTTTGATCAAGGTGGGTTTTAATTAACGTCATTAATTATTTTAAAAATAAAGTATTTACATGTCAAGATAATTATATTTTATTTTTGAATATATTCATTTAGTGTTATTTATAGCTATACTTTTTATCATATATTTCTATTTCTAGTTTGTACCCATATTTAGTTTGCAACCTTTTTTAAATTGTATCAGTTTTCTTTTAAATTTTAATTTGTACCCATAAAATATTAATTTCTTTTTGTCCCTTATTTTTTAAACTTTTATTTGTACTCATAATATTTTTAACCTTTTATTTCTACCTATAATTTATTTATAATGTACCCATTTTTCTTTACAAATGTACCACTTTCTTATATGCAAAATGTATACTTTTTTTGTGTAAGTACCATGTTTTATGCAAAATGTACCCATTTTTTAATGTAAAATCTATTTATTTTTTAATCTAAAATGTACCATTGATTTTTTTTTTATATAAAATGTACCCATTGTTTTTTTATATAAAATGTACCCATTTTTTGTTATATAAGACGTTCCCCTTTTTCGTATTAAATGTATTAATTTGGTATGTAAAATGTACCCACATTTTTATATAAATTTAGTCATTTTTTATATGTAAAATGTAGCCAAATTTTATTATATACATGTACTCATATTTTATAAAAATAAAATAAAATCCCTTTTTTTTTTAATAATCTAGAATGCACCCATAAGCATATTTTTTTTTTTATCAAAACCCATAAGCAATTTTGAATAATTGAATTGGTAGTGTAAAACAGTTGAGTATTTATTAGTATATTATTGCATCTCTTTTATTATTATGTCATATATGTGGCATGAGAGAAACTTCAATCAAAAACCTAAAATGCATAAGGTTTGAATCTATAACAGTTAAGAACTAGGGACCACAACTAAACTATCCCAATTATCAATCATATATCGACAACATACCAATAAAAATTCTAAAAAACAGACCGTTTCAGAAATTGAAATGTGTAATTTCATTATTTAATCCAATTTCTATATAGTTTGATGAATGAATTTTATTTTCTTGAACTGTGTGGGTTATACGTTTATAAGTAGGAGTTTTCTAATTCAAAGGGTTTAGCCAGGTGTTAATTGACACATATCCAAATTTCCAATTGCAACAATTTTGAACATTATTCAAAAGATTTTGTCCGGTGCAAGTAATTTTATTCAAAACTTGATTATTGTAAACAACTTTATTTTGTAATCGTTTTTACTTTGTTTTAGGTCCACTATCCTTTGACTACGCAAATTCCATTGGCAACAAGCCAAAGTTCAAGTTGAATCCTTACTCATGGACAAAGGTGTGAGACTAATTCAATTGCCTTCAAAATGTGTGTGTTTTTGTATTTGATATCAAATGCTGCAGCTTTGATTTATTCAGGATTTTATAAAAATATTGTCAATAACCCAAGAATTTCAGGTTGCCAACATAATATTTTTAGATGCACCTGTCGGCACCGGATTCTCATACGCAAAAACTTGGAGAGGATACGCTAATATGAGTGACACTTTATCAGCAGCACAAACGTATGAATTTCTAAGAAAGGTGAGGATATATTTAGCCACCAACATGGAGTATTCATTAATTTGTTTGAGAACATACAAGGTTTTTAGCTACATTCGTGTATTGGTGCAGTGGCTTATGGACCACCCTAAGTTCTTCAACAATCAACTCCATGTTGCTGGCGATTCTTATTCGGGCATAGTTGTTCCCATTATCGTTCAGAAAATATCTGATGGTAAGCTACTTACCATAACCACGTCGGGCATCGTTCTTCCTCTTACATTCGACCTTTAATTAGTTGTTTTGTTTGTTTCTTATGTGTAGGTAATCATGATGACAATGTGCCGCCAATAAATATCAAGGTACATCTTCTGCAACTAGAATATGAATGACTTCTGTTATGCTATAGTTAATTAGTTCCTGATCATATGCCTCGGGGTCTTAACACTATGCTGAACAATATAATGATCTCTATGTTGGATGCAGGGATATGTGCTTGGCAATCCAGCGACAGATTTGGACAAAGACGAGGATTCCAGAATTTTATTTGCTTACCTAAAAGCACTTATATCAGATGAACTATACCAGGTGAAATAGCCTCTTGTTGGTTTCATGTAGAGATTGGATTGTGGCTATTCAGATTAGTCTGAACTACATTTGATCAAAATGTTGGATTTGGCTCTTAAGTTATATCTATAGTTGTCTTAAAAACAACAATGTCTCTCAAGTTACAACGTTTCATAGTTTTGCTAGTCACTTGAAACTAATTGCAACGGAGAGTATATCAATGTGGATCCAAACAACGCATTATGTGTGGATGATCTAGAAATTTACAACGAGGTTAGTGGAAACATAGTAAGGTCCTTGGTTTCTGCAAGTACTTGTCACTTTTAAGTAATCTGAGATCATTATACTGACTTTACATTTGGAATTCACAGTGCACTGAAGACATACGTGCTGCACAGATATTGGAACCTTCATGTACTGTAACTTCGCCAAAATCAACGGGATCAATATGGAATCCCGACCATCTCAGTGATAGGGACTCTAAAAATACCCTCCTTACTTCTTCTGGACTTCCTAGGCTATGGTGTCGGGTATATATCTCTCAGCATGCACGCACAAGCGAACACACGTGCACTCTAATCATATCTGCCTTGTTTTAATGTAGGAATACAATTATATCCTCTCTGAAATTTGGGCAAATGACAAAACTGTTCAAGATGCTCTTCATGTTCGGGAGGTAATCAATTAGTTAATTCTAAAAAAATCCTCTTCAGGTTCTCATGACATTCTAGAGGACTTTAATTTTCTGATTTTAAATGACAATTAGGGAAGCATTGAAGAATGGGTGAGATGCAATTACAGCTTACAAGATTCATATATAAAAGATGTTTCCTCTAGTCTTGTATATCATGAGAACCTCATAAAAAAAGGCTATAGAGTTCTTATTTACAGGTAATATATCTGTCCAAATTTCTTTCGTTTGGGAAGTTTTCTAGCAGAATCTGACACAATGTGTTTCCGTATATATCGAATGATCGTTGCTTCGGCACTCAAAATTTCTGTTAACAGTGGTGATCATGATATGGTAGTTCCTTATGTGGGTACTCTTGCTTGGATAGAGTCGCTTAACTTGACTGTTGACAATCGTTGGAGGCCATGGTTCGTCAGTGGGCAGATTGCAGGGTTGGTGTTGCATTTTCGCTTACGACATAATATTTGTTCCCCCGTTCATACTGAGTTTAATTATAAATTTAGATTACAATTATCACATGCTTACCACATATAATGTTTTTACGTTTAGATACAGTGTGCAGTACTCATACATAACTAATTACAAGTTGACATTCACGACTATAAAGGCAAGAAGCCAAGAACCTTCATGAACTTAATTTTTCATAGATACTAGAGTTTGCTTGAGCAAAAGCTGACTAAATTTTTCTCTTAATGCAGGGAGCCGGTCACACAGCTCCAGAGTACAAACCTGAAGAGTGTCTTGCTATGATTAGTAGGTGGTTTGCATATTACCCTTTGTAGTCAGTAATTCTAATTACATACCCATCAATTTATAGATCCTCATTTATTTGGAGTAGATTTATAATTTATAATAATGTATGGAATAAACAATGTGTTGTATGATAGGAATCTAAAGGATAAATGGTTGTTGTATGACAACTGAGATGGTGCCAAGTGTCATCATATTAGTGAATAAGATTGTATTAGCTGTAAAAGTTGTTAGTTGGTTGTAATAGGAAAAGATTGTTGTGGTTAGTTGCTATATAGCAGGAATTGTAAGATACAAAGGATATGTGATAAAAATAGTATTGTCTTCTTCTTGTTCATATTCTCTCTCGACTTCTATGGCAGCTTAAGAGTCAAGGTTGATTTAGGGTCTATCATTGGTATCATCAGAGCCAATCACGATCTTTCATCCCTTCTCTGTGCCGTATGACTCGTGCTTCTACAAAGAAAGCCATGGATTCATAGAATCAACTTTCTGCAATAAACAACACTCTCAACATCCTACTTCAGAGGTTTGACGCCATGGAAGAACGCCAAGATTCATCCGACGCTCGATTTGAGAAATTTCATCGCGATTTTGTGCGAAATGTGATATGGGTTTTCATGTGGACTCCTCAGATGTGACCCCTTCAGATCCCAATTTGCATGAAGATGCAAGAAATCAACAATTCAATCGCCAGATTCAGGTTTTCACCCAAGACCTCCATTGGTGAAATTGGATTTTCCTCGATTTCACGAAGGTGATGACCCTCTCGGCTAGGTTTATAAAGTGGAGCACTACTTTGATTACTTCACCATTCCAGAAGATAAGAAGGTTTGAATGGCCTCATTCGACATGGAAAATGAAGCATTTCAGTGGTTTCAATGGGTGAATTGTGTCAAGAATTACCCTAAATGGGAAGATTTCACAAAGATTTTTTGTCGCAAATTTGGATCACCTGATCTTGTGGATTGCACTGAGAATTTAGTGAAGCTTCGCCAAACTGGGTTACTCAGGGATTACATCATGGAATTCCGTCGATTAGCGAATCGTACTATGGAAATGACTCCAAGAATCTTAAAAAGTTGCTTCATTGGGGGTTTAAAACCGGAGATTCAGCATGATGTCAAGATCCTTCGCCCTTTCGATGTTTATGAAGCTATAGCCTATTCGCAACAAGTGGATGCTAAATTGGCAGAGCTCAAGGTAAAATCTTTTTCAAGAAATCCATTCCCTGCATCACAATTCAAGCCTACTCATCTGTCTGACATTACCAATATACCAAAACCTGAATCTTCAACACAAAATGATAATTTTCGACGACTAACAGTTGCAGAAATTGAGTTTTCAAGAAAGAATAGATTGTGTTTCAATTGTGATGAGAAATTTTCTAAAGACCATGTGTGTGCTGGTCCTAAATGTCAAATTTTACTGATAGATGTGTATGAAAATGGCCATTTGATTGAGCATGAATCTGATGATACTGATGAACCTGAAGTTATGGCTTGTACAGTTTATGGTATGCCTGCTCCAAAGTCTATTCAAACTATGAAAGTCAATGGGTTGGTGTTGAATTGTCCTGCTATTTTTTTGATAGATTAAGGTAGCTCTCACAATTTCATTGACATTGACATTGCTTTAGTAAAACAGTTGAAGGGTCACTTAGATACTACAACAACCATTTTCTGTTAAAATTGCAAATGGAGGTTCACTCACCATTCCGGGTTGTTTAGCACAAGTCTCTGTGAGAATTCAGAATTATGCAGCTGTGTTGGATTTTTACGCTATTCCTTTGAGAGGGTGCGATATTGTTCTTGGCGTACAGTGGTTAAGAACGTTGGGACCATTTTTGTGGGATTTTGAAAAAATGGTTATGCAGTTTGTTGTTGGCATTACTACCTTCTCTATCACAAGTCCTCAAGTTCAAGATCCTCAGTCAATATCTTCCTTGCAAATGGATAGATTACTCAATCATGATCATTGTTTGGGAGTTGCACTATTTGTTTTACAATTCAGTGAGGAGACTATACTTCCTTCCAATCCTCGGCAACTGCCTTTTCCACAAGAACAGGATCTGTAGGTTTTGTTAAATCAATTTCAGTCTATATTTCAACCACTATCAGGGTTGCCTCCGTCACGGTCACATGATCACATGATTCCTTTAATAGAAGGGTGCAAGCCTCCTAGTGCAAGACCCTACAAATATGGTCCTTTCCAAAAGACTGAAATCGAACAATGTGTCTAAGAATTGCTAGATTCTGGTTTTATAAGACCAAGTCATAGTCCTTTTTCCTCTCTAGTTTTGTTGGTGAAGAAAAAAGAGGGTACTTGGAGAATGTGCATGGATTATAGGGTACTCAATTTGTTCACAATGAAAGACAAATATATCCTATATTGATTGATTGATGAGCTCTCTTAGATGAATTCTTTGGTGCCAAGTATTTCTCAAAACTGGATCTTCAGTCGGGCTATCACCAGATTCGTATGCATCCCAAGGATTTTGATAAAACGACATTTCGAACTCATGAGGGACATTATGAATTCCTTGTTATGCCATTTGGCTTAACTAACGCCCCGGCCTCCTTTCAAGGTCTAATGAATGAGATTTTCAAACCTTATTTGCGGAAGTTTATCTTCGTATTTTTTGACAATATTTTGATATATAGTGCTTCTTGGGAATTACATCTCCATCACTTGAATCTTGTTTTGAGTTTACTGCAAGATAATCACCTCTTTGTCAAGCTCTCTAAGTGTGCAATGCAAATTGAGTATTTGGGGTATATAGTTTCTGACAAATGAGTGGCTGCTGACCCTTCAAAATTAAAAGCAATTGCACAGTGGCCTAAACCGGCTTCTATGAAAGCTTTAATGGGTTTTTTAGGCCTCATTGGGTATTGCAGAAAATTTATTCCCTATTATGGAAAAATTTGTGGTCCTTTGACTCCACTCACTAAAAATGATGGATTTCATTAGACCCCTGTAGCAATGGCCGCATTTCAGGAACTCAAGAGTGCCATGATGTCTCCTACAGTCTTGGCTCTCCCAAATTTTTCAAAACCCTTCATTATTGAGAGTGATGCTTCAGGTACGGGTATATGAGCAGTGTTGCAACAAAAGGGCAGGCCGATTGCTTTTACAAGCCAGTCTTTAGGACCAAAGAATCAGGCTTTATCGACTTATGAAAGGGAAATGTTAGCCGTAATTCATGCAGTTAAGAAATGGCAATCGTATCTCCATGGGAACCATTTCATTATACGAACAAATTATCACAGCCTCAAGTATTTTCTGCAGAATCATGCTAATTCTCCTTTTCAACAAAAATGGGTTTCGAAATTACTTGGTTTTGATTACGAAATTCAGTACAAGAAAGGGAATGATAACAAGGCAGCAAATGCTTTGTCTCGAATGTTCTCAAATTCGAGGATTCCACCTGACACTACTTCAACCACTCTGGATGTTTCTGCCATGAATAGTATTGCTCCTAATTCCGTGCTTCTGGGAGTACTTGGCAGTGAACTTACTGCCATATCTTATCCTTATATGTCTTGGCTCGATGACCTTCGCCGACATGTTGAGCAAGATGATTGGATCTTAGCCAAATCATAATCAGTTTTGAATAAAACTTCGGATTCTATTCCATTACAATTCTTGAGATATCACTTTGCTAATGGTTTTTTGAGATACAAAAATAGGATTGTCCTAAGTCCTACAAGTTCTTGAAGGGTGAAATTGTTTGAAGAGTTTCACTGCACACCTAGTGCAGGTCATGCAGGTTTTCTTAAGACTTATAAACGCATCCCTAAGTCTTTTTATTGGGAAGGTATGAAGAACAACATCAGGGATATGGTTGTTGGTTGTGATATCTGTCAGAAAAACAAGTATGAGTTCCTTGTTCCCGCAAGACTACTGAATCCATTACCTATTCCCCAAAGAGTGTGGACTGACATATCCATGGACTTCATCACTGGACTTCCTCCTTGCAGAGGCAAATCTGTCATATTTGTTATGGTTGACCGACTTTCAAAAGCTGCACACTTTCTATCCATGTCTCATCCTTATACTGCTCACTCCGTAGCTCAGCTTTTCATCGATCAAGTGTTCAAACTACATGGGATGCCAACCTCCATTGTCTCAAATTGAGACCTTATTTTCATCAGCTCTTTTTGGAAAAAGTTCTTTAAACTTCAAGGCTCCAGATTGTGTCTTAGTTTAGGATTTCACCCCCAAACTGATGGACATACTGAGGTTTTAAATCGGTGTTTAGAAACATACTTAAGGTGTTTTTGTAGCTTAGAGCCCAAGTAATGGTTGAAATGGCTTCCATGGGTGGAATGGAGTTACAATACATCTTATCCTACTGCAACGAAACTTACACCTTATGAAGTAGTGTATGAGCAGTCTTCTCCACATATTCCAATCTATGAATCTGGAACTACGAAGATTGACTCGGTGGATCAGTGTTTACAAGATCGAACTCGGATTTTATCTCTTCTTAAGACCAATCTGGAAGCAGCTCAAGTAAGAAGGAAAAGTCAGGCAGATAAACATCGAACTGAGAGGTCTTTTGAAGTTGGTGATTATGTGTATCTCAGGTTGGAACCTTACCAACAAAAGTCCCTTGCTCTACATCCTTATCTTAAATTGCATCCTCGGTTTTATGGTCCCTTTGAAATTCTTACGAAGGTCAGACCTGTGGCCTACAAGTTAAGGTTGCCACCTCATTCTAAGATTCATCCAGTTTTCCATGTTTCTTGTCTCAAGAAACAACTGGGCACATCAGCCTCTACTACTATACCGCTTCCATCTGCTTATGATGCAGGTCTGATTCAGGATGAACCAACAGCTATCCTGGATCGACGGGTCATTAAACATGGGTCGACTCCTGTCACCGAAGTCTTAGTGCATTGGCGGAATCATCATGTTGCCGATGCATCTTGGGAGCGTTTGGATGATTTGAAAGCTCGATTTCCTGACTTCCAGCCTTGAGGACAAGGCTAATTTCAAAGGGAGGAGTAATTGATAGGAATCTAAAGGATAAATGATTGTTGTATGACAACTGAGATGGTGTCAAGTGTCATCATATTAGTGAATAAGATTGTATTAGCTGTAAAAGTTGTTAGTTGGTTGTAATAGGAAAAGATTGTTGTGGTTAGTTGCTATATAGCAGGAATTGTAAGATACAAAGGATATGTGATAAAAATAGTATTGTCTTCTTCTTGTTCATATTCTCTCTCGACTTCTATGGCAGCTTAAGAGTCAAGGTTGATTTAGGGTCTATCATTGTAAGCTTAGTCGGGAGGTGTTCAATTTCTTTTGCACATTACTAGAGAGAGCTGTGTTTCATCTTTTCATATTGAATTTAAACACTTCAACGCACGCTCTAAACATATCATTTGGGCGTCTAGATAAATTACATTGCCAATTGTCTATAACAAATTGATTGAATTCAGAGTGATTAAGACACATTGCCTCAAACTTGAAAGAGTTCTTCCTTTTATAGCCAATATTATTACATTGAACTATAATAGGACTAAGGTCCGAGCCAAATATTGGCAAGCTGTGTAAATGAACCTTTTCAAACAGATTTAGCCACTCGAAATAGCAAAATTAAACACGGTCTAACCTTTCAAAAACTACCGAGTTATCTTAGGTTCATTTGTCCAACTGAAAGGAACTCCAGAAGCAGGTATAGAGACAAGATTACCATCACTTGTAAAATTGTTGAAATCAATCATGTACATAGTTATTGTTACATCCAAGTTTAGGATATTGTTAAAATCTCCCAAGAGTAACCAAGGATCGTTATTTGGGTTCGGTGTAAGAATTTTAATCCATAATTCCTATTGTAATTCTTTCTGAGGTTACGCATACACTAAAGTAATCAAATAACTTGTATCACAAACAAGATCATGCAAAGTAGCATTTATACAACGATCAAAAGAGCATATTATATTGATATTCAAGACATTTGATTCCCAGAACAAACAAAGGCCACCAGCCCTTCGACAACCTACTGCATTAAATTTACAATAAAAAAAAAAAGCATTATCACATGTAGAAGAGATCTTATCAAGAGTAGTCTGCCCTTCAACAATACAAAAAAGGTCCAGTTTGTTAACCACACACAAATCTAAGTTGTGACACGAAACCAGGTCTAGGCAGACCCCTGTGATTCCATAACATGCTTCTCATCACTCAATTTCGTCAAGACAAAGGTTACCTGCTTCTGCAGCAAACTCCTCCCCTATACGTTTTCTTGGACTCAAAAGACCAATAGTTTTCCTACTTGCACTTGGCAGATCCTCTTTAGCACCCTCACTTGAATTCTTGCAGCCACCAGTATCTACTTTCCCATCCCAATCACTACGTCCTGACTTCATAAACTTGTTAACAAAGAATCATCATTCATCAACATTCTAAACAGATCATCAGTTTGCATCCAATAGTTCACCAAATCTGCAGAGGA